CACACAGTGTAATTAAAAAAAAGATAATAATATAAAAATAATGACAAAAAAATAAAATAAAAATAGTATGAATTGTTCAAGAGGTACATGTCATATTTGTTAAACACATGATCTTAGTTTCGAGTCATATCTTTCTCTTAATATCAGAATATTTTGAAAAATCCTAAATATGAGATGTGAACACAGTCAACAACCTTGATATAAACCTAAATACGGAGTAAATTTTGTATACGGATGGGGTATATGTTATGAGATGCCTTTTATTATTATAATTGATTTTGACAGTAGAATCTACAACATGTATGTTGGATGTTTGGTAAACAATAAATGACATATGTATTTGTGATTGGTGAAATATAGTATTACGTGATACCCTATTAACATATAAATTTTTTTTTCCTAAATATGAATCCTCAACACCACCTATAGATATTAATTAATAACCATACTTATTTAGGATGGTTACCCTTCCCTGTTAGGATGTAAGAAAAATCGAAAACATCGACTAAACTGATTAAGCTGGACCAACCAGTTATATTTGGTCTATTTTTTAACAAGAATCGGTCTATGCAATTTTTAAATTTGATTTTTTTCAGTTTTTGGTTCGGTATCGGTTTAAACACTCTGTGCACCGATCTAAACCGAAACCAACCGCTTCAACATATATTGTATTTATAATATATATATATATATATATATATAAAATCTAATAATATAATGATATTAATAAGTATAATAAATTATTAATCTTAATTAATTAACCTTATCATCTTTATAACCTAAGTTTGTAAACTCTTATTATATATAATCTTAATTCTAATTCATTATTCTTGAAATCTTAATATTTTCAAACCATTTTTTGTTTTTATTTTTGTTAATTTAAAAATTGAAAAGTATGTATTAAATGGATGAATTGGATATATTTAAAATAGTAGACTATGAATGTTAAAAATAATAAAATTAATATTATTAATTTCATATAATTTTTTACCTAAATATCAACCGTGATTACATCGTACTTTCCCAAACCAAATTTATTTGACGTACTACATAGGAAGTGGTTATTGGTTGCTCCTTCCAACCACCAGTTTGCTATAAATACCACCCCACCCAACTGCATTATTAATTCAGTTCAGGAGAGAGACTAAGGCCCGTTTATTTTCAGAAATAGAAGGAAGGGGAGTGATAGTGAAGGGATTAATAATGAGGGGATTGATAGTAAAAAATTATTAAATTATTTTTATATAAAATAATAAAAAAAATATAAAAATATAAAAATTAAACATTAATATTTAAAAAAAATTTCCTAATATATAAAAAATAAAAAAAGTAAAAAAATTTATAATCCTCTTACTATTTTTCTAATACCATCTCTACTTTCTCACTATGAATCCCCCTTCCAAGGGTATTAGTAATACCAAGGTATTAATAGTTCCAAGGCCATCTCTCAGCCATGTTTGTTTGGGCGGATTGGATTAGCATTCCCATGACTAATAGTCTTAGGATTACGAATCCGTTGGATTATGTATCCTATCTTAACTAATAGTCAAGTTTAAAATAAATTAGTCCGTACTTCAATTGTTTAACCAAATATCGGATTAATAATTTTATTGGACTATTAGTCCAATCCCAAGCTCATGTCCACCCAAACAAAGATAAGGCATTAGTAATACCAAGATATTAGTAGTCCCAATCCCCTTCCTATAAACCCAAACAAACGGGGCCTAAGGGTGTGTTTGATTTGTGTTTGTAGAGTAATTTTTGAAATAAAAAGTATGAAAATTTATTTGGTTTGTCTTTTTTCAGAAATAGTTTTAGAAAATTGTTTTAGAGAGAGTTTTAAAAAAAGTGATTGATTTAAGGGTTGTTTGGGATGTCCTAAATAAGTGTACTTTTTGTCTTTTTGAATTAAAAAATTAAGGAAAAAAATATGAATGTTTGGGTTAACTTTTTGACTTTTTATGAAAAAAAAATATATTAAAAAATTGTATAAATTAGTGTGTAGGAGAAAATTAAGATTGAGAGTTTTGCAGCCGTAATTTTTGACTTTTGGTGAATAGTGATAACTTTTTAACTTTTTGAGTAACTTTTTGGCTTTTTGAGTTTTTTTCAAGTTGCCAAACTTGGCCTTAATGTGTATGAGAGAGAAAGTGATTTTAGAAAGTAGATAACCAAACAAAATTTTAAATTTTTTAAAAAAAAATTTGTTTAATTTGATTGCTCTTAAAAATTTATTTATAGAAAATTTTTCCTAAAAATTTTTCTGATAAACAAACCAAACAAGGCCTAAAATTACCCCTTTTTTGCCAAAATTACAATATACTGCTTCCTTTGGTTGGTTCACTCCACTACAACTTTCACTCCACTACAACTTTCTTTCTCTTTTCTTTTCTGTTTCTGGGTTTCAGCATATCTTATATTGAGGGGATGTTTGGGATGTCCTAAATAAGTGTACTTTTTGAATTTTTAGATTAAAAAGTTGAGGAAAAAAATATGATTGTTTGGGTTCACTTTTTGACTTTTTATGGAAAAATGTGTATTAAAAAATTATATAAATTAGTGTGTAGGAAAAAATTAGGATTGAGAGTTGTGCAACCGTAATTTTTGACTTTTGGTGAATAGTGATAATTTTTTAACTTTTTGAGTAATTTTTTAACTTTTTGAGCAACTTTTTGACTTTTGACTTTTTTCAACTTGTCAAACTTGACCTGAAATCAAGGCTAGATTTATTCAATCCGTTTCATGGGTTTATTTTTAAGTCTCGTTTGGATAATTCAAACCGTTCAATATATAGAACTCATCGAGTATTATATCTCTGAAAAAAATCACGTTAATCGGATATCGATGGCTATTTGATCGCACCAGAATTTTGTCAATCATTTATTTGTTATTGTTCATGTTTTTAAATACAATTCTGATCCGATCAAATAGCTATCGATATGGAAAAACTAGGATTGGGAGTTGTGAAACCGTAATTTTTGACTTTTGGTGAATAGTGATAATTTTTTAACTTTTTGAATAACTTTTTGACTCTTAACTTTTTTTCAACTCGTCAAACTTGACCTGAAATCAAGGCTAGATTCATTCAATCCGATTCATGGGTTTATTTTTAAGTCTCGTTTAGATAATTCAAACCGTTCAATATATAGAACTCATCGAGTATTATATCTCTGAAAAAAATCACGTTAATTGGATATCGATGGCTATTTGATCGCACCAGAATTTTGTCAATCATTTATTTGTTATTGTTCATGTTTTTAAATACAATTCTGATCCGATCAAATAGCTATCGATATCCGATCAACGTAATTGGTTACAAAGATATAGTACTCAGCGAGTTATACACATTAAACGGTTCGAATTATTAAAACGAAACGTAAAAATAAGTCTATAAATCGGACTGGATAGTCCAATCTTAATTTTAACTTAAGACAAGCTGAACTCTTTTGAGGACACCAAAAAGGTGTTTATTATCTTTCCTTAAAGGCTAATGCTTTGTTGTGACAAGATGCTAAAAAAAAAATAAAGTTATTGCAAAATCATTAATATTTTTTGCTAAAAAACAAAATAAAAAAAAAGAAAAAAAATAATTGCCAAAATATGGAAAAGTCATTATTTTTAACCAAAGAAAGAATATTCATATACACACGACAGAATATGATTAAATATTTAATAAGATTTAGTAAAAATTAAATCCACTCCTCGTAAAAAAAACTTGAGTGGTTTGCTACATCAAGTTGCTATTACTAATGGAATAAACGTTCCACATGGTAATTTTTTTTATTAAATAGTGAAATTATAAAGGGAAAATTACTGTGGGTTTTTAAAAAATTAATTACTAATTAATGAAAAGGTTTATCTCTTACACTTGTAAAGTTTATCATTAATTTGTAAATATTTTGTGAAATATACATTGACATGAAAATTTTCCAATTATAAATGTATTCAAACTACTTTTTGAATAAGATGAAAGAATATTCAAATTGACGGTAAATATGATAATTTTTTTATTATATAATGATATTATGAATGCATTGAAGTTATTTTTTAAATGAGAGGAAATAATACTTTATAAGAATTTAAGTTATAAATAACACCACAATTATAACTAATATTTTAATAGGTCATCATCAATACTACAAAGATGATAATTATATATATGATACACACTTTTTTAAAGATGTGTATTTTTTTTTCTAAATATAATTCTTTTACATAAAGTAAGAACCATTAAATATTGTAAGAGAAATTGATAGAGAAAGAAAGAGAATGAATTATGTATTATTGATTGATGTGTATATTGTGTATATTACAAGGATTTATATAGGAGAGGATTTGGGAGTAGGTGAAGGTGGTAGTGGAGGTGGTAGGTGGAGTGGGTGGTAGTGGAGGTGGTAGGTGGAGTGGGTGGTAGTATTTACTTTTACAATTTACATTAACAACCCCCTTCAAACTCAAGGAGGATAGGTACTAGCCAACTTGAGTTTGGAGAGAGTAACAAAGCAGAAAAATAAGCTGACAAATAAAATTAAAAATGGGATAGGAGACACTGTATGGTCGTGTCAGACCGTTGTAGAAGACACGGTATGGTCGTGTCGGACCGTTGTAGCAGACAGTTTACGGGGTCATGTCGGACCGTTGTAGCAGACATTATGTGGTCGTGTCAGACCGTTGTTGTAGAAGCTAACCGGAATAAATGTCGGGACAGTTTACGGGGTCATGTCGGACCGTTTTCACATAGAGTCCAACTTCCACTTGTTAGCAATTAGAAACATAAAAGGGTGAAATGTAATTTTTTAAAATTATAAAAAATTAATTTGTATTTTAAATAAATTTTAAAAAAATTATTTTTATAATTTATCTTAAAATAAATTAATGAAACTCAAAGTCCATTCCACTTCCCCTCCTGATGGCATTTTGGCAATTTCCCCACATTCAAGGGGCAACTACATATCAACACAACTATATAAACACCCCTCCCTCTCCCCATTTCATCCCACATGTCTGTCTCATCAGCTCTAACCCAATAAGCAAAAAAAAAAAAAAACAAAGCCAAGCCATGTCTCTAGTCACAGAAGAGATCAAAGCCAAAGCAGAGGTATACTATGGAAATGACATCTGTCAAGAGAAATCAAAGTTCTTGCTCAAAGAAATGAAGTTGCCCAATGGCCTCTTGCCATTGGAGGACATGCTTGAGTGTGGGTATGTCAAAGAGACTGGCTTTGTGTGGCTCAAACAGAAGAAGAAGACTGAGCACAAATTTGAGAAAATTGGCAAATCAGTCACTTATGCAACTGAGGTCACAGCTGTTGTTGAGCCAAACAAGATCAAGAAACTGACAGGTGTCAAGACCAAGGAGCTCTTGATTTGGGTCTCGCTCAGTGACATCTATGTCAATGACCCGCCCACCGGGAAGATCACTTTCCAGACCCCTGCAGGTCTGTCAAAGACCTTCCCGGTGTCAGCTTTTGAAGTTGAGGAGGTGGAGCCACCCACCAAGGGGAAGGAGGAGGTGAATAAGGAAGCTAATGTGGTGGTGAACTAGGTGTAAACGTTATTATTACAGCAGTTCTAGGAACACGAAAAGATTTTACAAAATATTCTATGTCTTATTCTGTGAAATCTTTCTGTGTTTAGGTTTATCAGCATTAATAATACCAACTACTAGAGGGCTATATCCTTGTGAGAAAAGTTTGATTTGAGTAATGAGAGGTTGTTTTAAAGTGGTTAAATGATTTCCATTTCATGGTGCGTTGTTCCAATGCTCTCGTCCTTTATTTGTGTTACTCCTAATATGATTAAGATTAATTTTAGAGTTTAGAAGGGTTTTTTTTTTTTTTTTAATTTTTTAATTTTGTCTTTTTATTGGTGCTAGAATTAACAGATCAATGTTTTAGCAAGGCTTGTTAATTAGGCAAGCTTTTTGAAATTTTATAGAACAGTTTTGCCAATGTAATATAATTATTTTAAATTTTATTAACAAATTGAGTTAAAGCAATTAACAAGACGTTTCAGAAAAAAAGGGTATTGAATGCAAAAAAACAACAAATAATATTTTTTTTTAAAAAAGGTGGCATCAAACAAGATATTGGACAGTTTTAATAAAAGTAAAATTATTATTGCTATTAAATTTGTTTGCCATTACAATATTAATATTAATTTCAAACATTTCGGTTACAAAATTTTTATTATAATTATTTTTGGTAAGGCGGTTACAAAATTATTATTGCAATTATGCAATGATTAATGTGTAATTGTTATGTATTAATTGAGTTTTAATTCCCATATAAGTTTCTTCATCTAAGGCCTTGTTTGACAATATTATTTTTTAACTTAAAAATCAAAAAGTCATTAAAAAATTAAAAAGTTAACAACCTATACAAAAAAGTCAAAGATTTTATTTTCTCTCTATTTTTTACAAATCTTTTCATAAAAAATCAAAAAATCATCCCAAACATACTAGTTTTTTTTACATCATATTTTAGTAAAAAAGTCAAAAAATTACTAAAAAATCTATTCCCAAACGAGGCCTAAGTCTGGACACATTCAGTTCCCTGCCCTTGCTTCGAGCATCTTTATTACATTATCTCAACAGATTGGGTTTGAATTTGAAAATACTTGCGGGGTATGTGAGATTTATTATAAATCTCGTTTTAATAATATAAATTGTTTATTTTGTAAAATTTTTAATGTATAAAAAAATCAGATCAATTTGATTATTATAACTTTTTTATTTTATCGAATTTATCTTTAAAAAAAAAAGACAATGAGAATTCTTTTTCTTTTTTTTTTAAGACAAACTCAATAAAATAAATAGTATTACAATTATCATATACAACTATTTTTTTTTATAAATAATATATATATATATATATAAATTTTTATAAAATAAATAATTCAAATTAAATTTTGAAATTATAGAATGAAACATCAGATCATTTACATCATTCACATCATGTTGATGTAAATATAGGACTAAATGGAGCATAAGAAAACTTTTAGGACTAAATGGTTCAACGTTTCAAAAACTAGGACTTATAGATAAATTTTCCTAATATTAATTTCAAACATTTTGATTACAAAATTTTTATTATAATTATTTTTGGTAAGGCGGTTACAAAATTATTATTGCAATTATGCAATGATTAATGTGTAACTGTTATGTATTAATTGAGTTTTAATTTCCATATAAGTTTTTTCATCTAAGGCTTCATTTGGCAATATCACTTTTTAATCTAAAAGTTAAAAAGTCATTAAAAAAAATAAAAAAGCTAATAACTTATTTTAAAAAGTCAAAGATTTTATTTTCTCACTACTTTTTATAAAAATTTTCATAAAAAATTAAAAGATCATCCTAAATATATTAATTTTTTTTATATCATATTTTAAATAAAAAATTCAAAAGTTATTAAAAAATCTATTCCCAAACGAGTAAGTCTGGGCACATTCAGTTCCTTGCCCTTGCTTCGAGCATCTTTATTACATTATCCCAACAGTTTGGGATTGAATTTGAAAATACCTGTGGGGTACGTATGAATCTCGTTTTAATAATATAAATTGTTCATTTTGTAAAATTTTTTATATATAAAAAAATCAAATAATTTGATTATTATAATTTTTTTATTTTATCAAATTTATCTTAAAAAAAAAGACGATAAGAATTTTTTTTTTTTTAAAGACAAACTCAATAAAATAAATAGTATTACAATTATCATATACAACTAAATTTTTTTTTTTTTGTAAATAACATATATATAAACTTTTATAAAATAAATAATTCACTCACAAGCCTGAAAGGAACCCAATCCAAGTAATTAATGCTTTAAATTTCAAAATCTTCATTTGCTCAGTCAAACTGAAACACTTTATCGATGCGAATTCCAATGCTTGCCAAAATTGTATCCGGCAACCTATACTTTCCGATCAAACTTTTTCTAAACAACCAAATGAATTTTCTTCGGATCGACTATTCAGCCTTAATGTCTCAGCCCTTCACCATCACCTACCACCAAGAGTGGGTGGGTCATTTTAAATTTGTGTGGTGTCATTTTAGATTTGTGTTCCAATTATTTCATTTTATTGTATTATATTATTTTTAATTCGTATTCGATTTGTCGTGTTAACGTATCATTTCCAAATTTCATCATTAATCAAAAATGTAAATGTATGAAATTTTTTTAAAATTTTTTCTTCACAAGTTAAATTAAATGAAACTAATATTTATTAAATGAAATTATTCATAAGAACATTTGGTTTTAGTTCAATTTTATTTTCTTAATGTATAAAAAGTTATATCCTATTATTATTATTTACTAGATTAACTCACATAGTAGACAAAAATATATATATATAATCTTCAATTAAAAATAAAAACAATACATGTATTAGCCTTAAAATCCTATTTTACATACTATTTTAATAAGTTCGATGAAGTTAAATAAGAGATTCAAAAATGTGGTGGCACCCCTTAATCGAAATAATATTAAAATATATAATTAATTCTTAATTATATTGTATTATACAAATTCAATATTGGCCTAGCATATTTAATATTTACATTATTAGGTCGTATTATATATGTATTTGTATTAAGAAATAGTCAATCTTAAGCCACTAATTTTATATATGGTTTGAATTGTATTATCATGTTATGTTAAAAAAATTTCCCTTATCTAGCACTCAATAGGCTCACTCTATTTGCAAACTCCCCTGTTTTCTCCAATTACTGAATTATAAGCTAGTGTTTAATTAGCTGAAATGATTTTGAGTAAGAATAAAATGATTATTTGTTAGTTTTTTAATAGAATGATCTGATGCAAACAGCTTAGAATTTATTCAAGTTGATATTGGTCCTGTTTGGTAGAACTTATTTTCAGTCTATTTTAACTTTTAGCTTAATTTAAGCTATTTTGATGTGTTTGGTTCAACTTAACAATACATCTTATAACTTTTTATAAAATCAACTTATTCTTTGAGTGGGGGAGGAGAAACTTAATTTATTAGTAAAAAATCAGCTTATGTTCACAGTTATAAGCTATAATCACTTTTTCACAGCTCTACCAAACGGGGCCATTATGTAACTAGGAAATTCTTGATACGACATAATGTTTCTTCTTTTTAAATCAAAATTATTGGTCTTTTTATCGTTCATATACATGAAGGTTTTGATATTAGGTAACCAGTCTCATATATATTCTAACATGAAAAATGATATATAAGTCTACTTTTTATATATATATTTTTAGACCTAACAACGTGTAAATTACATAATTGGTTGACAATTAGAGCAGATATGAGAAAGAATGTTACTTTTAATATCTTAATTGATTACCACATCATTAGGCTTGAAAATTGAATATAATTTTTTGTCTTGAATAACAATACTTTTCTATTTTATTATAAACAGAACTATTATTTATTATTATAAAGAAAATATCTATTTCATATTAAGAAATGATCATTCTATTTTATTTTATTCAACTTACTAATGTAAGTTAGCTCAACGCTACGTATTTCATGATTACTATTCGTATTAATTTAAAAACACCCTACCAACGTATTGAATTAGTGTTCAATATAACTACATATTGGAAGCAAAGACACAAGTCCAACAACCAACATTTAAACAATCTTCTATTTCTACACACCAAAAATTTTATGCACACACTAAACTTTGAATCATCAAGTTTTGCTCAATAACACAACCAATAAGGTCAAAAATATCCCTATCTTCAACTTCAAACCCCAACCCTACCCACCAACTTCAAACCTAACCCTAAACACATCGCAATCCATTGGCCCTGCCCTTCTATGACCCCTCATTTCCCAGCCTCCACTACAATGATCCAACCACCTTTCTCACCCTCGCAAGGTTTCAAGACCTAGGAGAAAGACTCAATTTCTCACTGTTAGAACTACTAGCGTTGAAAGAATCGTCCCGATTCAAATATCAATCACTAAACCAACATTACAAAAATTTAAGATTTTAGAAACCAAAATTTAGGGATAAAATTATTTTTTAGTGACCAAATATTTTTGTTGCGAAAAGTGTCGTCATTATATTTTTAGCAACGAAAAGTGGACACTAGTGATGAATTATTATCTTTTTCGAACCAATTTTTTTATCTCAAAAAATAAACCCTTTTGTGATCAAATTATTGTGTCCCTAAAAGTGTATTCATTAGTAACATTTTCAAAATTTTGTTGTTAAAAGCTTTATTTTTGACTTTTCTGAATGATCTTTTAGCAACTATCCTCATAATGATAAAAATTGATCCTTAAATGTCTTTTACAACAAAATTTTTAATTTTAGAGACCAAAAAATTTGATTTCTATAACTCTTATATTTTGTAGTGTAATGATATTTGTGTAGATTCCAACTATCAAACCAATAGGATTTGCTCGAACATCAATCATCGAACCAATATGGGTTCCGTAGGAATAGGGTTCACGACAGTATCGGTGGTAAAGAGTTTGCAGAGGTAGAGGTGGAATAAATCCACCAATTAAATCAGAAACTACTAACAAAAAAACATTTATCCAGAAGAGAAATAAAATGAAGCAAAATTATCCACAAACATAATACGGCCACAAAAACTACTTTGCTAGACAACATATCAAAAAAGAGCAGAAGCTGCATCAAAATTTTGGAGAAAATGTAAATGTGTAGTAACTGTTACGTAATATTTATACATACAGATGATCAAAAGGAGCCACATTACTATTTTTTGGCTCTCCAAAAAACAGTTATTCAATCTTCTAGCACTGATCAACTTGTGTAATTGATCAGGCAACAAATCAATGAATATTCTACACTAAAATGTTACAAAAACAGAAGGTTTTTATGTGAAATTTTCTGCTAAGAAAATGCTATCGACAAACTTTATTTCCCTATGTTTATGCAGTGGGGTTTGTACAAAAGAATTTTAAACAAGAATTTGAGACTTTGCCGCACCTCGAGAGCATTTTTTGCGGCCAGATTTGCTAAGAGCACATACACAAATCTCTAGAAGTTCATAGTCTTCCTCCCAGAATAAAAGAGAAGCCATCTCTGGATTTTCCAAAAGCATTTTTGAAGTCAGGTACCCAGCAATTGACCATGTTTGGTAAAGTCGAGCTTGCTTTCCTATAAATTTTCCATTTCTTGTGTCATAATATTCAGGCCAACGATCCACCACAAGCCTCTTCTCAGCCAAGTCAAGTGCTCTCCTTGCAAGTTCCGGCCTGCCCATCTTCATGCAGGCTAATGTGAACTGAAAATAATTATTGAAAGGAAAAAAAAAGAAAAAGAAAAAAGAATAGTTAGAAAAGAATTATGAGCTAAAACAGGGCTAATTAACCTGCCACCCCAAGACCTACCCACGGAAAAGAAAGCATTTTCTTAAACTAAGCAGGTTAATGTCCATCTCTAATTAGGTTTAACTAGTTATTTGGTTCAAATTTGGCATGTCACAATAGACTGAAAATGCATTTTCTTTTTTATATTCTCATCCCTTCTCTGTATAGACCTGTGTTACATGGATTCTTATATTTCTTTCAAAGTACCCATGTCTACTAGATATGACAATGTAAGGTTTCGCGAGATGTGTCTGACACCTCTACCCAATTTAGACACTTCATCGTCTAAGTTTTTACAATGTTTAAAAGAGAAGAAACTTACATTTTCTAGTAATAAACATTTCTAGCCTCTCACCTAAATGAGAGATAGAAATTCTATATTTTTTCAAAATCCTATTTAATTTCAAGTACATTTATATATAATTTAAAACATCTTATCTATGACTATTATAAAATATACAATATATGTGGCCACCACGTATTCCTATACCATATCCAACTTTTTGATACATATCCCAATATCTTAAGAATTGGGTTTATAAAGATCGGACACTTGAACACACACCCACACCCGATGCTAATACTCGAGTCCATGTAACATAGGTATATACAAACATGCACCTGAAAATGGTTAATTTCCTGTATAATCATACTTTTATCCCAAACATCATAAATTCACAATGTTTAAAGAATATAATATTTCTTAAATTTCATTATTTCCTATTTTTTAGGTACATGATTATTCTTTGAGACTAATGTATTTCCATTTTTACCCTAAATTTCATCACATTATTTACTTTAGTAAGCCAGAAAGTTGGAATCAGTGAACCATTAACATGACCCTTTTCAATATTGGGCCCCTGTTTCGTTTATGATAAAAATGAATCATAGAGCCGACAAACTACCGCGAAAATGGAAGGGCAGAGTTCGAGCATGAATCATTTTCCATCAAGAGGTTGATATCAAAAGCAAAAAGATAGATTAACGAAAGTGGACCCAATGAGGAAAACAGGTGTATTAATTATTGGGGCACCATAATAGTTGCTGTGACCTCCCCAATATAAAAAAGATTAGCATTCAATGAAAAATTCCACCATACATAAAAACTAGCATCAAATCCAAAATTACCTGCCATAGAAGGGTTGGCCAAGATCCCCCATTGTGATAAGACCAAGGGCTGCAAGAGTCAATGAAATGATAATCAATATTAATGATTTACACGATTCCATAAGGGTGCATGCATATATATATATAGGAAAATGATATGCTTATACAGAATTTCTGTACAGAATTCATAACAAAAATGATGTGACAGTGGTATTTGTGAAATTATAAGAATAATTGTGGTTTTTTGATTGAAAATGACGTGCCACATAATTCTGTATGAAAATTCTGTTTGTATAACATTAGTCATATAAATATATAGCGAGAGAAAGAGAGAGAGAGAGCATAAAAGTTGTATAGAGAACTCACGTATTCTTTGGGTCACTGCCCGTGATTATATGCCACTCTTCACGTTCCAAAGCAGGGTAACATATCTTAAGAGGCATATGCCCCATAAGGTCATCCCATTTGGCTTCAATCAAATTCAAAATAGATTCATTTTGTTTTGGAGTACCCAAAGACGAAACAATGGACCAGAGATTTCCAAGTGTGAAGAACCTGAAGTCCATGTGAGCTGGCTGTACATTGCCAATCATATAACCACCCTCCTCTGGAATCCAATCCACTAGCCAATGAGGGATTTGTTCGGGGTAAATATTAAACTTGTTAGTGGCATCAGTGGAATATTCCTCCGTCTTATATCTGTAAATCTCATTGACCTTTTTCATATCAACCCAATAATATTCCCTAATGTGAAATGATAACGCGCTAAGTCTATTGTTTACGGCTGTCACCAAATTCTTGGATCCATCATCTTTGGAGAGCAATTCCCGGGAGCACCGCAGAGCTGAGTAGAACAAAGCCTGTGAAATCAAAGCTGGCACGCATTAGATAAATCCAGAGCACATAAAACAATTAAAATCTAAAAAGGAGCAAGTATATTTAGAAAGTAGGTAACTGCTTCAAAACTATATATGGATACAACATAGTAAACAGGCTGTCATGATTTACAGCCTGTCCCAACCTTCAATTTTTAACAAAGTAGACAAGACAAAAGTTTGAAAGAACTCTCAAAGAAAATTGAGAAACCCCATTAATATTCTTCGTATTACATTAGAAAAATGCAGGGCAAGCTAGTTAACTAATGGTGATATAGTTTTATGACAAGCCAACTATGTTACATGGACTCTTCAAAATAAATCAAATACCCGTGTCGGACACTCGACACTCGGACAAGGGTATGGGATATGTGTCGGATACTTTTCAACGGATACTTTTTATATAATTGTATATAACACTATTATTATATGTACATATTGTTGTATAATTGCTATAAATGTCATTTTGACACTATAAGTTAAATATAGTACCATTTTATCTCACATATTAGATTAAAAATATAAAAATATGACATTTTTTTGCCGAGTCTGCGTATCTTTAAATTTATGATTTGATGAGTCCGACCTCTAAATACATATCCGCACCCGAGACCTGTACCCGAGTCCATGTAGCATAGCAAGCCAAAAAAGTGAAGCTGAGCTAGAGTGAAAGACCTAACAACTTTTCCAACAAATCAAATATATACTTAGCTCAGTAATTCAACATAGAAAACAAACTAGTAATTATTTGAAGCAACCAAAAAAAAAAAAAAATGAAACTAACCATTTTATGCAAATGGCATATACATAATTACAACACATAATTGTAGATAGTAATCCTTGACTTTTTTACATACAAGCTATATATGGCAATTTTTTTTACACAACTAAGGAAACATCAACTCACTTGAATCTCAAGCGGATGACCATGGATACCCATCCGTCGGTCTATCATGCAGGAGCCATCAGTGACTAATAGGGAAGGAAACATATCAAATCCATCAGACAGGCACAAGCTTAAAATGAGATGTATGCCTGTCTGGACGTCCACCCTTTCTTGTAGAGTATAGTCACCAGTGATCTTCCCATAAGCACTCAATAAGATAATCCACCACAACCCTATAGATGGACAACATGAAATGAACAGTACAAAAAATAAATAAATAAAAAATAAATAAATTAGCATCTACTTTTACTTCATAAGAGATGAGTTAATTGGTAGCTTTTTATAAAGGAAAGATATACTTACCAGAGTCCACAGGTGCAACACGGCCAATAGCTGACTCACCAAAATCTGGGTCTAAAACTTCATCAAACTTATTTTCATCAAGAGGCACTGTTCTAACTTTGAAACTTGCTGGCATCAACCCTTGCCCTGGGCTGTAGCAGTCCACTGTTTTCTCCCAACTCTAACAAATAAACAGGAAAACACTAAAGTTCCACAAATACAAAGAATGAATAGATGGCATATCCCACAAGCAAATATGAAGAATGAATAGATGGCATATCACAAGCAATAGAATAAATAGCAGCTCATGTAACATTACAACTAAGTACCTATTTTTTTTTTGAAACAGCCAAAGATGAAATTTATTGATAATGATCAAGCAAAAACATTGACAAAATCAATAAAAAGACACAGAGCAGTTGGTAAGGCACCGACACAGAAGAAAGCAAAGAACACCTAGACTCCCAAAACACCAAACAAGCAGCCCCGAAGAGAACAAAACCAGCAACAGCAACCAGCCCATGACAGCAAAGAACAGGACAGAACAGAACCATCCCATGACAGATGGGACTAGCCGTGCCAAACACAGAAGAAAGCATGGAACACCAAGATTTACAACCCCAACTGCATCCCAGCAGCAGGCCAGAGCAACTTTAATGATAAAGATGAACAACAACCCAGAACAGCAACCCATAACAGAACCCAAAACAGAACCAGACCAGATCATTATCAGCAGCCCAAAACAGATCTACTCCCCAAACTCGATCTTATTTGCCTCAGATTGGTCAAAAAGTCTTGTACAGAGAAATGAAAATCCTTGAATCTATGTTTCAGCCAAAGTGCAACTCTGATTTTAATCAACTCACACAGGTCCACTAACTGAGGCGTTGCAGATTCGAAAATGCACTCATTTCTAAGCTTCCACAGAGACCATAGGACAGCCAAGCGAATGACCTTCCATATCCATTTTTCTTTCTTGTTCAAACTCACACAATCCCACCAGTGAAGTAAATCTTCGACTGAACCTGGAAGAGCCCCCTGCAACTCCCACCACTCCATCATAGCAGCCCAAACCTTCCAAGCAAAATAGCAATGCAGCAAGACATGAGTGGATGATTCAGGCTCAGCTTTACAGAAAACACATAGAGCAGGAGCAGTAGCTTGAATCACTCTAATTTTCTGTAGAAATTCAGCTGACTTAACTCTGTTTTTCCATGCTAGCCAACAGAAAAATTGAACCTTTGGAGGGGCAAATGAGTTCCAAACAAACTTACAAGAAATAAGAGAGGGACTGAGGGATGCAATTTCATTTTTATAAACAGAGGAGACAGAGAATAGGCCAAATCCTTCAGCCAACCAGACTATTTTGTCCTCCAGAACAGAACATGGATCAGGTGCAGGAACCAGGAGCAAATTGAGCCTACAAACTTCCCTCTCTTCCCACTCATACAACCTTCTTCTGAAATGAAAGTTCCAAGCCCCTGAGTGTACCCTCCTGTCATACATTGATCTCAAGGTTTCCTCCTTCTCCACCACAAATCTGTAAAGAATTGGAAATGCATCTTTCAAGCAGGAATTGCTGCACCATTTATCCTTCCAGAAAATGGTTCTATTACCATCCCCTACCTTGATATGAACATTATTAAGATAGAACACCATCAGACTATTCCTCCTCTGTGGTATAGATATGATACCTTTCCATACACAAGAGAACCTGCTCTTAGGGAAAAAAGAGGGATACACTACAAGAATTTACATATTTTGCGACCACTTTTGCCGACCAAAAAAATTTTGGTCGCAAAAAAATGACATTTGGCGACCAAATATTAATTAGTCGCGAATGATGTTTATTTTTGGCGACCAAATATTATTGGTCGCAGAAGGTTATATTTTGGCAACCAAAAAATGAGTTGGTCGCAGAAAGTGGTATGCTTCTCCTAATACCTAATCCCCCTTGCTTCACATTCTTTGTTAAATCATCCCATTTAACCAAGTGAATTGGTTTTCTTGATTCTGACCCTCCCCAAAGGAAATTAGCCTGCAGCTTCTCAAAATCTCTAGCTACCCCTACAGGCATTTTAAATAAAGATAGATAAAACAAAGGCAGCGCAGCAGACACAGATTTTAGAAGAGTGAGCCTCCCTGAGAATGATAGCAGCTTCATTTTCTAGCCTGCAAGTCTGCTTCTGACTTTATCAAGAACATGCTTCCAAGTTGACTTCTTATTTGGGTTAGCTCCCAAAGGCAGCCCCAAATACTTCAAAGGGAGAGCCTTGGGTTGACAATGTAATCTTGCTGCAAATGTGGATAAAGACTCCACAGGAACATTGACCCCACACACCAGACTCTTATGATAGTTTATTTTCAACCCAGAGATCAATTCAAAACACCTCAAGACCCTCTTAATATTGCACACCTCTATTTCCTCAGCTTCGCAAAACAAAATCGAATCATCGGCAAGTTGTAGATGTGTTAGCAACACTCCACCAGAACCCACCTTCACCCCTTTAATCAGGCCATGCTGCTGAGCTCTTGACATAAGAATATTGAGGCCCTCAGCCACTACGTTGAACAAGAATGGAGATAGAGGGTCACCTTGCCTGAAGCCCTTTTGAGGGGAAAACTCCTCTGTTGGTGTCCTATTGACTAACACAGAGAATTTGGCAGAGGAGACACATTCTTTAATCCAACTAATCCATTTTGCTCCAAACCCAAAATTCAAGAGCATAGATGATAAGTAGCACCAATTAACAGAATCAAAGGCCTTTTCAAAATCCAGTTTTATAATCACACCCCTCCTTTTGGTTTTTCTCCAACCATCCACAATTTCATTAGCAATTAAAATACCATCCAAGATGTTCCTACCACCAATGAAAGCTGATTGTGCATCACTGATGATGTGGGAAAGCACTACTTTTAGTCTGCTTGCTAGAACTTTTGCTAAGACTTTATATACCGCGCCAACAAGGCTTATAGGTCTATAGTCAGCAAGCCCAACAGGATTTTCAACCTTAGGAATTAGAGAGATAAAAGAGCTATTAAGCCCCAAGACCAACTTCCCATTCTTATGAAAGTCCTTAAAGAACTACAACTAAGTACCTATGCTAGTAGTTCACAATATAGAAGCAATATATTTCCAGTATGTGAAACGAAAAGGGAACAGGAACATGTTTGCCACATGATTTAAAATTTGATACGATAAGAGTAGCAATTTAAGGTAGTTCTAGAATAATTTTCTTTTAACAATTAGACATCCAACAAAATATAGTGGTTTTTTTTTTTTTAATTAATCATGTTACAACACATTTTATGAGCATTATTATAACCCATTTTTACATTTTGTCATGCCACAATCCACTCCATAGATTTTAGATGACTATATTTGATTTTTATCCTCCTAAGAAAATGTTTAATGGAAGTATATTGGAGAAAAAAATATTGGAATAGCTTTGGATCCTTACATGAAGCCATAGTCTGATAGATATACATCTAAATAAATAGGTAAATCTTATTCTTATATGGATAGAAATTCAAATAAATTAAATTTAGCAAGTGCATTTGTCAAGGGTAGAAATATTGCAGACAACATTTCTATTGCCCAATAAATCACTTGTGGTCATGGTAAAAATTTTTGAGGAAATTTCATTCTTAAGTTGGACATGTTGAGAGCCTACGACCGTTCAGAATGAGATTTTTTTGGTGCAAACGAGCAAGAAAGGGAGGATAGGTTGGTTTGAGGACCTGTTGGTCAAAGGAAAGGGGATCCTTATTCCGGGATATGTCGCAAGAGTGTCATGTACGGTTCCTTGCAGAACGGACCACATATCAGGCCCAACGAGAGTGGTCCACAGAGCTACATCCCTACTCACCTGGTCCATGCACATTGCTCTCTCCAGAAGGTTGGCCACCTATTCTGGATCTTCCCATTTTTAAGAAGATCACAGGCTTGATCCGGTTTAGTATCAAGGTGATTCTTTGTTGGTTTCTATACGTATGGGTCCATGCAACATTTCCACAATACCGTTATGATCAATTAATGGGACTCGGCCAGAAAGTGTTTAGAACATAAGTATACCACATTTTGGAAACGTGCATTCCAAACAAAACATATATCACAACAATATTAGCTTTTTCTTTTTTTGTGGGTAACATAGTGCACAACCTAGAGATTTACAAGGCTTTTAAATGATGAAATATCACCAAATGTTAAAACATACATAGAGATAACAATATAGAATTCAAACAACATAATTTACCTGCAATTGCAAGGTATCAAGAAGGAAATTTCTCACAATCTCTGCCTCTCCTTTAAGCAAGAAAGCCAAGGCAGACGGAACGAAATCGCGAATGAAGACCTGATCGTAGTTAAGCGGTTGCTTGTCAGCCGGATCATTCGCCGCCATTGTCCCAATTGGGCTCCCACAATATGTCACAACCGAATTCCTCAATAACTTCCATGCCTCCCTCTCAATATCAGACTCTTGTTTACCATCATTCAAACCTTTTGAATTCTCATTAGTCACATTTTGACCATCATTTTCTACCCTAAATTCCTCATCTCTCTCTGTATTTTCAACTATTGAAGGGTTCACATTCACACCACCCTGAACATATATCCTGTCAAAGCTCTTTTCATTCACATGGGTACCAATTGAACTTGAAAAATTTCTACAATTCAATGCAATACCACCATTACAAGTGCTAGAGAAAACACTAGATTGGTCCCAACAGGCACAAAACGGTTTCTGGGTTCGATCGAAAACGCATCGAAAACGCAAAATTTGAGGCGAGAAGGGATGGAATTTACGGGTTTGGTGAAAATTGAATGTAGAATTTGATGGGACATTAGTGGAATGGTGGCATTTGGGAGATGGGAAGGCCAAAAAAGCAGTGTTTCGGCGGTGGATGAGGATTCTGGAACAGGGTTTCATGGTCATGAAGGTGGTTGTGTGCATGACAAAGAATCAGAATTAGGAGGAGAAAGATACACAGAAAATCTGTGTACATTAAGGTGATTATAATCTGGGAAATTCGAGAGTTTTTTAAGCTTTTTTGTTTTGACGTTAGAAGGGGGAGAGAGAGAGAGAGAGAGAGAAGAAGAAGAGTAATGGCTGAATTTCATGGCGCGTGCCTTTTTATAAGCAGAGAGACTGTCTTGGAAAAGAAATATTTACACAGTGCTGCTTAAAAAAGTGTCCGTTTTTAATTTTTTTTTTTTATATTTGAGCTCCCATTATTTTTTATTATTATTATTTTTATTATTACCTTAATATAAAATTTTTATTGTATCTCCATTTTAACTTTCCAAACTCTTCTCCCACCTTCACCTATTACTATAATTGATACTCTTTCTGTACTTTCAGCTCCAATTACCTTCGTTACCGTCATCTCTTTTCAACATTCTTCACTCTCTCTTCGCCATCTTACATTTGACTAAAATAAAGAGAGAAGAGAGAGAGGGGAATCAACCATGAGAGAGAGAGAGTGAGAGATTGCGAAGAAGAAAAAGAAAAAAGTTAGGAGTTGTTTGGGGTGTTCTAAATAAGTGTACTTTTTGTTTTTTTGAACTAAAAAATTGAGGAAGAAAATATGGATGTTTAAGTTAACTTTTTGACTTTTTATGAAAAAATGTGTAATAAAAAATTATAAAAATTGATTTGTGGAGAAAAATTAGAATTGAGAGTTGTGAATATACCAAACTTAACCATAGTAAGTCGCGGTGGTGTGCAAGGAACAGAAAGGACAGGTCGCCACAAATATAAGGGTGAAGTGACAAGAGGTGCATCACAATGGTAATAGGAGAAGGGGTCATTGAAGGAAGGTTGCAGTGCGGGGGTAGTGAACAAAGGGTCTTGTTCAAAAAAAAAACAAAGGGTTGTTATACTAGAGGAAAAGAGTCATTGAAGGGCAAATCGACATCAGAGGCAAACGTGGGGCTAGGGTTAGGGTCAAAAGAATGAAGATAGAATTGGAAATAAGGTGGGGTCATATGCTATTTGACGCGAGATATAATTTTTTTTTTTTTTTTTTGATGAAGAGGACACGCGTTAGAAAGAAGCTAAAAATGCTGGTAGGTGACGGTGAGGTAAACAAATAGGTGACATTAAATAAATAAATAAATAAATACATATAGATGATATTTGGATAAATAGACATATATAAGTTTTGAATAAGTGAATAAATAGGTTACATTTATACATATAGGTGACATTTGGACAAATAAATAGATATGTAAGTTTTGATCATATAAATGTCATTTTAGACATATTAATATCCTTTTAGCCAAAAAGATTTAAACTTTTCGACCAATAAAGTTTCATAAATGAATCATAGGCCTAAGTGTCCTAAAAGAAATTATGAATAAACTATCAATAAGTCCTAATAATTGAATTTAATTTCTATTAATTCCATTGAAAGTAAGTCCTAAAAAAATCATTGCTAAAAATAATTTTTTGTGACGATTTTTTGCATATGTCGCTAAAAATTGGTAATTAGTGATCCTTTCACGACTTTCACAAATTGTTGCCGAAGTTAAAAATTAGTAACTTTTTTGTGATGATTTTTAAACTGTCGCTAAAGCTTATAATTAGTGACATTTTTTGTGACAATTTTTAAACTGTTGCTGAAAATTAACAATTAGTGATTCTATTTAACAGTGTTGGATGAAAAATACCATTAATTATCATTTGGCCTATTAGATACTAAGTCTATCTATTAAAATTTACGTCGAAATCTCTCAAGAAATTAAGTGGGCACAAATAGCAACACTATATACAAACTCACTGATTAATTGAAAATGACGAAAGCACGTCAATAATTTTTAAAATTATAATTATTAAAAAAAAAAATCAATCACGTTTTTCCTTTACAAAATTAGATAAATAGTTGATAAATAAAAAAATAGAGAAAATAATTAATGAGTCTCATTACGGAAACGTAGTCAAACATAGCCTCGCAATGATTTTTTTTTGTTTATAGGTTCCCTTTTTGTTAATGGATCACATGATGCTGTTAAATAGAATCTAAAATTTGATATTCAATGCAGTAATGAAAAAAATAAAAAATAAAATTGCAGAGTTAAAATAGAATCAAACCTTGTGATGTGGATCTCGTCCATTTTGAGTTTTTTAATTCCCCTCGTAATGCGGCTTATCCATTAATTTGATATATTTTAGGATCTAGATGTCTCCAAATATATATATATATAATATTAAGAGTTTCTCTAAATGTTAGTATAAGGGTTTGTCATTGTTAATATTAGCATGAAATTGAGATTGAACTCTCCAATGATCAAGTAAGTTTTGTCAAATTTTATATTTGCTTATCTTAAATCATTTTCTTTCACAATGAGACCCACATAAGGATTGAAATCAGGTCGGATTAATTTGTGAAAATAATACCCAAGCTCTCTCGGAATCTAAGTCTAGAAGATTTTTTGACGACTCAAGTCATTTGATCCATGTATCAAAACATGAGGCCCAAACCTTATCCAACAAGCTTAGCTCAATTGGCTAACAAGCTTAATCCAATCGGCAACAATTTTAAATTTTTTTTTCCTTTTACTTCCTCAAAAATTTTTTTTTTCTCAATATTTTGCTAGGCTCAGGACCTAACTAGTCATCTCTCACAAATCAACAAGCCAGCCCAACAGATCGCCTCTCACAAGCCAACAAGCCAAGTGTGGTGAAGCATTTGAAAATTGAACAAACTAGCTAGGAGTTAATGAAGTTTGGAGATTCTAATTTGGAAATTGAAACAAGAACATAGGTTGAACATGAAAATGATAAGAAATATTAGGTTTGGCATGATTTGGAAGCTTGAGCTTGGTTTGATATTGGTAAAATGTCTATGTGCCTTCTTGTCCTTCCCTACTTAACTAACTTTTGACATGTTGACCTATGTTCTTAAGCTAATTCGTGGTATGCCATGTGTTCCATTTCTTAGCTTTGGTTAGCCAAACACTTGAATGGCTAAAACTTACCTTAATACTTTGCTTTGCATTAGACATGTCCAAATAACACAACAAAAAAGTCACTTGAAATAACTTTTAAGGAAAAAAAAAACATATAAGTTGTTTTGAATATGATTTATAAGCTAAATTTTTTACTTATTACGAAAATATATACGAAAATGTAACGATGTGATAAATATAATCCAAATATACCAATAAACTACTCATTTCTGGTGTTACCAAATGAGAATCTCTCAAATTTCACAAAGTTGGCAAGCTTTTGATGAAATAAGTTGATTTTTTCAGTGGAACAATGCATGAAAACAAATTTATGTTGTGTTTAGAACTTAATTAGATAAGTGGAGGAGCAAAAAACAAAAAAGTTTAGCTTCATTCATTTTTTCCAATTGCAAATTCATGATCCAAAAACAGCTTTAGGGTCCTGTCCAAACAAGAATCCTTCTGAATATTTTCCACTTCAAACTCTTGTCTATGCTGACGGACAGCAAGGAAGTTCCCAACAAATCAATTAACTTTTGCAGGAAACAAACACGGAAAAAACTAGTATAAAGCCAACAGAAAACCAAACAATTAAATTCCTAAACCAAAAAAAATAAAAAAAAATGGCATTTCTAGGTCATTTCTTGTGTTCTGAATATACAAAGTCCAAACCAACAAAAATCCAAGTCGTCATGCGGAGCATGAACTCCTCTTAACAAGATCCAAATTTAATATTTATCCTGTAGAGTGATCAATGAGTACATATTTCACAACCAGCTCTGTGTTTCTGACCTGCATTTCTTCAACTTCACCATTTTACTACATCTTCCTGTAAGAACAATTCAGACTACACTAAATGCCGACTGTAGTGTAGTTGAGAATCGAGATGCAATGGTCTGTGAGGCAAATGCTTGAATCTGCTTTTTAGCATCTGAGGAGAAACATCAAAATTTTTATTGAGAACCAATGTAAAAACGAAGCATATATATGTGCATACAAACGCACAAAGTTGTGTACATGTAAATACAAGAACACAAAATGTCATGTTGCGGCAATATGTCACTTGTTTCTACTGGCATCAGTGTGATCACATTGGGACATCTTACATGTGAAATGATAAGGATGAATAGCATTTCTATAGCATTTGGATGGAAATTACTTATTATGGTTTCAGGATTTTTATTTTTATTTTTTCAGAATTCATGTACAGAACTTGCTTCAATATTTATACCCTAATTAACTTCAGGACTATGTTATTAACAATTTCACTCAAAAGGATGATTTGTAGGCCTTCAAAAGCAACAGAAATCATGGGTCAAGGCCTGGGTTTTTCCTTTTTTTCCAGAGTCGAAATGTCCAGGTGGTGAGTGTTCGAATTGTCAGTACCCCTTGAAGCTACAGGAATTGTTCGTAACATCATCACCTAAGAAGCGCGAATATACGGATACGGATACAGATGTGGACACGGACGTGGGAACTATGTTACCAGAAAATGCTAATGCCCTAATAAATTACGTATTGGTACGCACGTTCCAAAACATGGTTACACTTTCGTTCTAAAACGGGAAATTTAGTGATTTGAAATGATCTCAATATTTTTTTTTCCAATATATTTCTTTAAATGTTACCTTAGGAGAAAAAAAAAATCAAATATATGAACCAAAATTTACGGTGAATTAAGTTTTGATAAGACAAAAATATAAAAAATGGGTCATAATTTTCATAAAAATGATTTGCTACATGAAAAAATATATATATATTGGATACTTAATAGTTAAAAGAAAATTATTCTAGAAATACCTTAAATTCTTAAGAGTAACATACATATATATAAGTCTACTCCTATCGTTCCATATTTTAAAATATGTGGCGTATCACGTTTCCGTTTCCGTTCCTGTTCCGTTCTATGTACCGGAACGAGTAATATGGCACAGGATACAACGATTTCAAATAAATGGGGACACGGCCACAGCAATAAAATATATTTTCATATATCTATATTTGTTATCTAGATTGATATTACATCCGCAAACAATCAATATTAACAAAAACTAATTCTAATTCTAATTCTATTTTTTTTTATTTAAAAAAAAAAGCACCTTTAAATTAACACTTACAGTTTATATATATATATATGTATTTATAGATGATCTATTAAGAAATTTAATCTAAAAAAAATAAAATAAAGATTTAACATTCAATATTCATCAAAAGCATTACATAAAATGGAAGAAAGGACAACTTGACATGTCCCTAGTATGTCTCCAAAGTGTCCCTGCCGTGCCGTGTCCCTTGAAAATAAATTAACTATGTTAATGTAAATTGTAAATTGTGTAAATTACCACACCACCAACTCCACCTACCATCTCCACTACCACCCACCACCTCCACTACCATCCACTACCACCACTCACCTACCTCACCTACTCCCAAATCCTCTCCTATATAATAGCTTGTAATATACAAAATATATACAACAATCTTGTAACAATATCAATCAATAATATACATCAATTTATTTTACATGGTATCAGAGCTAGGTTAAGAACCTAGTATTTTTGCTTCACCGGCAGGCGGCAGCCTCGCCTTGGCCGCCCACCGGACCTCTTATCTTCCAACTATTTCTGATTACTCTCTTCCATTGTTGCCGCAGCTACTCCACCACCGAGCCGAGTAAGCCGGATTTTCATCCATCAAAACCAACACTGAGGCTCTTATTCTGTTCAAGAAGACGATAGAGAACGATCCGAAACAAGTGACTCAACTCGATCTTAACCAACCCAGGTACCATCTTGCTTTGCACTCCCTTGAGAACCACTGCCTTCAGCCGTGATTCGACCAACACCACCTCGCTGCCATCATCCACTTCTCCACCACCACCTGCAGCTTCATCTCCGCCGCTGACATATAACCCCAAATCGGAACATCACGGTGGCCTTCCGCTTCAGCTCCTTGTTTTCCGCCCTTAGCACGCTTATCTCTGCTCGCGCATCCTTATACATGCGTTGGAGCAGAGCCAGCTGGGAGTTTAACTGCTGCACCTCATTTGCCCTACTCTGCAGCCGGTTCGACAAGTTTGTCACCGCAGTCATGGTTTCCACGCATGACTTCAAAGTATACTGATTGGCCTCCACATCCGACAGCACTGCCATTCTTTGCTCCACAGACCGCATCGGAAAGTTCAACGGAGCAAACTCCGGGGCACTTGGTTGAGGTTCCAGTGCCACCGCTCCAGTAATCTCTCTTGTTGACTCGTTGAGGTCGGGAAAGAGGGTGAGCAGACCGCGGGAAGACGAAGCCATTTTCTGGGCAACCAAGTGTTACAGACTATTTTCTGGGCAACAGAGTATTACAGACTATCTCTCCCCGCAAACGGAACTATCTTTCTCAGCAACACGAAGGATTTTTCAGAGGTTTCTCTCAGTTTTTCTCTGCCTCAGCCTCTGCCTTCGTCTTGGTTAAATAGCCGAGGCAGCCACGCGCATCGCGCGCCTCTTGACGCCCGACAAACTGGCACGCCTTTTCATGGCACATCCTTTGATAAAGTGGGCGCGCCTTTTGAGGGTGCGACTTTTGAGGGCTCACTATATATATCCATATATATCTATATTTGGGCAGCCTATATACACCATCATACAGTGTATTTTTTATGGGTCCGACAAGACTCTGTAAACTGTCCCGACATAGATTCCGGTTAGTTTCTACAAGGGTCCAGCAAGACTCTGTAAACTGTCCCAACATTGATTCCGGTTAGCTCCTTTAGGGGTCCGACAAGACTCTGTAAACTGTCCCAACATTGATTCCGGTTAGCTCCTTTAGGGGTCCGACAAGACTCTGTAAACTGTCCCAACATTGATTCCGGTTAGCTCCTTTAGGGGTCCGACAAGACTCTGTAAACTGTCCCAACATTGATTCCGGTTAGCTCCTTTAGGGGTCCGACAAGACTCTGTAAACTGTCCCAACATTGATTCCGGTTAGCTCCTTTATGTAAGCTGTCTTCTACATCGGTCTGACACGACCACACAGTGTCTGCTACAACGGTCCGACATGACCCCGTAAACTGTCTGCTACAACGGTCCAACATGACCCCATAAACTGTCTGCTACATCGGTCTGACACGACCATACCGTGTCTCCTATCCTGTTTCATTTTTCAGTTTATTTTTCTGTTTTGTGACTCTTTCCAAACTCAAGTTGGCTAGTGCCTATCCTCCTTGAGTTTGAGGGGGGCTGTTAATGTAAATTGTAAATTGTGTAAATTACCACACCACCAACTCCACCTACCATCTCCACTACCACCCACCACCTCCACTACCATCCACTACCACCACTCACCTACCTCACCTACTCCCAAATCCTCTCCTATATAATAGCTTGTAATATACAAAATATATACAACAATCTTGTAACAATATCAATCAATAATATACATCAATTTATTTTACAAACTAAATAAAGTGTCCATGTGTTTGACACAGATACGACACTTGTTTTGAAGTGTAGGCGCTTCATAGATCATCATAATATCCTTAAAAGATTATCAATTACAACTAATGATTAATATATCTATTAACTGAAAGCTCAAATTTGTCTTTGTGACTCTTACCAGATTATTACGCTATCCAACCTAGGGAAAGTTTTAATTCGTGAGCTCTTAAGTATGGTGGGTATGTAAGTGGATGCTTTTAAACTTTACAGCCAAACGGACAAACATGAAGTTCTTTTTAAAAAATCTGGAATGCTATTCCTCGTTCAGCATTGCCTACATGTTAATTTATGGAAAACAATATCTACATGATCCATCTAAGATTGATAAGTACTTAACAACCAGGATATCCATGAATAGTACCATACAAACCATGGTAAGTACTTAACCCAGGACAAACCATGATAGGAAACTAAACAAGGTATGCGAAACAGTTTTGTCCCACAAAAACAAAAAAAAATAAAAATTGAAGGGACACCAAAGCTATTCTGGGACACACCATAACTGAGAAAAATTCAATACTTTTCTTGAAAGTAAAAAAATTAGTATCTTATCTCAAAAATTACTTTTCTCGAAAGTAGAAAAATTACTATATTTTATCTCAAAAATTGAAGGGTTTGTTGTTGTTAAAATTTAGCATGAAATTGAGATTGAACTCTCCAATGATCAAGTAAGTTTTGTCAAATTTTATATTTGCTTATCTCAAATTATTTTCTTTCACAATGAGACCTACATAAGGATTGAAATTAGGTCGGAATAGTTTGTAAAAATAATAGCTAAGCTCTCTCGTAAGCTAAGTCTAGAAGACTTTTTGATGAGTCAAGTCATTTGATCCATATGTCAAAACATGAGGCTTAAACCTTGTCCAACAATCTTAAGCTCAATTGGCTAACAAGCTTAATCCAATCGGCAAAAATTTTAATTTTTTTTTCCTTTTACTTCCTCAATTTTTTTTTTCTCAATATTTTGCTAGGCTCAGGACCTAACTAGTCATCTCTCACAAATCAACAAGCCAGCCCAACAGATCGCCTCTCACAAGCCAACAAGCCTAGTGTGGTGAAGCATTTGAAAATTGAACAAACTAGCTAGGAGCTAATGAAGTTTGGAGATTCTAATTTGGAAATTGAAACAAAAACATACGTTGAACATGAAAATGATAAGAAATATTAGGTTTGGCATGATTTGGAAGCTTGAGCTTGGTTTGATATTGGTAAAATGTCTATGTGCCTTCTTGTCCGTCCCTACTTTAACTAACTTTCGACATGTTGATCCACGTTCTTCAGCTAATTCATGGTATGCTATGTGTTCCATTTCTTAGCTTCGGTTAGCCAAACACTTGAAAGGCTAAAACTTATCTATACTTTGCTTTTCATTAGATATGTCCAAATAACACAACAAAAAAGTCAGTTGAAATAACTTCTCAGGAAAGAAGATGAAAGAAAAAAGAAAAAAACACAGGTTGTTTTGAATATGACTAAACTATTTTACTTATTACGAAAAGAAATACAAAAAAATAACGAGGTGATGTAACCCAAATGAACAAATAAACAACTTATTTCTAGTATTGCCAAATAAGAATCTCTCAAATTTCACAAAGTTGGCAAGCTTTTGATGAAATAAGTTGATTTTTTCAGTGGAGCAATGCATGAAAACAAATTTATGCTGTGTTTAGAACTTAAATAGATTAGTTGAGAACCAAAAAACAAAAAAGTTTAGCTTCATTCATTTTTTCCAACTGCAAATTCATGATCTAAAAACAGCATTAGGCTCCTGTCCAAACAAGAATTCTTCTGAATCTTTTCCGCTTCAAACTTCTGTCTATGCTGATGGAGAGCAAGGAAGTTCCCAACGAATTAACTTTCGCAGGAAACAAACACGTAAAAAACTTGTATAGCGCCAACAGAAATCCAAACAATTAAATTCCTAAACAAGACAACAAAAAAAGAAAAGCAAAAAAGAGAGGCATTTCTAGGTGTTTTCTTGTATTCTGAATATACAAAGTAAAAACCAACAAAAATTCAAGTCGTCATGCGGAGCATGAACTCCGCTTAACAAGATCCAACTTTAATATTTATCCTGTAAAGGGATCAATGAGTACATATTTCACAACCAGTTCTCTGTGTTTCTGCCTGCATTTCTTCAACTTCACTATTTTACATCTCTCTGTAAGAACAATTCAGACTACACTAAATGCCGACTGTAGTGTAGTTGAGAATCGAGATGCAATGGTCTGGGAGGCAAATGCTTGAATCTGCTTTTTAGCATCTGACAAGAAACACCAAAAATTTAAAAACGAAGCATATACACGTGCATACAAACGCACAAAATTGTGTACATGTAAATACAAGGGAAAAAAAAAATGTCATGTTGCGGCAATACGTCATTTGTTTCTACTGGCATCAGTGTGATCGCGTTGGGACATCTTACATGTGAAATGATAAGGAGGAATAGTGTTTCTATAGCATTTGGTTTGAAATTACTTATTATGGTTTTAGGATTTTCATTTTTATCTTTTCAGAATTCATGTACAGAACTTGCTTCAAAATTTAAACCCTAATTAACTTCAGGACTATGTTATTAACAATTTCACTCAAAAGGATGATACGTAGGCCTTCAAAAGCAACAGAAACCATGGGCCAAGGCCTGGGTTTTTTCTTTTTTTCCAGTCTTGTCCAGGTGGCGAGTGTTCGAATTGTCAGTACCCCTTGAAGCTACAGGAATTGTTCCTAACATAATCTCCGAAGAAGCGCAGATACAGATACAGATGAGGGCACAAGACAGAGATTTCAAATAAATGGGGACACGGCCACGACTATGGCAATAAAATATGTTTTCATATATCTTTATTTGTTATCTAGATTAATATTACATCCACAAACAATCAATATTAACAAAAACTAATTCTAATTCTATTTTTTTTTATTAAAAAAAAAAAACTTTTAAATTAACACTTACAGTTTATATATATATATTTTTTTATGGATGATCTATTAAGAATTTAAATCTAAAAAAATAAAAATAAACATTCAACATTCATCAAAAGTACTACATAAAATGGGAGAAAAGACAACTTGACATGTCTCTAGTGTGTCCCTGCCGTGTCCCTTAAAATAAATTAATTAAATAAAGTGTCTATGTGTCCGACACGGATATGACACTTGTTTTGAAGTGTAGATGCTTCATAGATCATCACAGTATCCCTAAAACATTATCAGATAGAACTAATGATTAATAAACCTCAAATTTGTCTTTGTGACTGCCAGATTATTACGCTATCCAACCCAGGGAAAGTTTTAATTCATGGGCTCTTAAGTATGGTGGGTACGCAACTAGATGCTTTTAAACTTTACAGCCAAACGAACAAACATGAAATTCTTTTGAAAAAATCTGGAATGCTATTCCTCATTCAGCATTGCCTACATGTTAATTTATGGAAAACAATATTGATATCTACATGATCCATCAAAGATTGATAAGTACTTAACAACCAGGATATCCATGAATAATACCCCATACAAACCATGATAAGTACTTAACCCAGGATAAACCATGATAGGAAACTAAACAAGGTATGCAAAAGGGTTTTGTCCCACAAAAATAAAAAAATAAAAATTGACAGGACACCAAAGCTATTCTGGGACACACCATAACTGAGAAAAATTCAATACTTTTCCCAAAAGTAGAAAAATTACTATCTTGTAGCATTTTAATTTATTTCAATAGACAAATAATTAGAAATCTCAACTTTGAAGCATGGGCTCTTGTTTCATTTTGTTACAAACAACCAACGTATAGAATATCTGTAAGATCAATTCAATTATCTTTTCTTTAGTGTGGATAAATTTATCAGTAATATGAATACAAATTACTATAAAATCAGAATCAAACTCATATGGATAAGAAGAGCTGGTTTCTAATGGTATAGAAGATCAAACTATCAATGACCTAAACAAGAGACTTAGGCAGAAAATATCAGAAGGCAACTAAATTCATAAGCTCGAAACAAAAAGTATGCAAACCTTTGCGACATTTAGTAAAACCAACGATATTTGCAATGCTGAGGGTCAAGCAAACTGCTACTACAAGAAGAAAATCAGCTTGAAACCTTATGAGAGAGAATATTCCAAGAACAATCCATGCAACTGCCTACAAAACAAAAGAACAGCCTTAGACATAATGAGTCCGAGTAAATAAAATTTTTTATTAAAAGCAATTTTGATATGATACTACACAGTAAAGATTAAGGAAAGTCAGAACCAAGTTTCCAGGTCCCAGGTTCTTCAACATGGTATGTAACTTTTTAAAACCTACACATCATCATGTGTTTCCTTTAATTCTTTTAATTAATGAATGCCTATGCTATAATTGGTAAGGGAGACCAAGACTGGATAATGTCCCTATCTTTATGATATAATTCAATCATATTTACTTACTGTAAGGTAAAGGGTCCACCAGAATAGCCAGGAATCCTTCTTGTTCATCCTAGCCAATGACTGGAAGAAACAAGGATAAAACATATTTTAACCGTTAGAGATAAGTTCACGAGGACAGCCTGAAGATATCTACAAAAGAATTCTGAGATGAACAATGAGAATGTAATAAACATTATCACCAACCTCTTGGTCAAGGCATTCATATTTCCACACGCTCTCACCCTCCTCATTTATTTCATTCCACCACCTCAAACCAACCAAGATACGACCACTCACATTCTTGACTACCCAAAAATCAAAAGCAGCAAGAAGAACAGTGACCACAAAAATGATAACAAAGCTATCGACAAAGAGAGCTGAAACTATATAAAACGCCAAAGCTGCTGCCTGCCAAATCAAAGAAGTGCAATATTACGAAGCAAAATGGAATTGAAAAGGAAAACTAGTATAAATCATAATTACATAGAATGCAACATACCTTGAAGATCACATGAAAGAAACATATCCTCGGGTGGGCATAGTTTTCCCCTGCAGGCTGAGCAAAGAAGTAATTTAAAATTGAGAAATTAAGAAAAGAAAAATGAGAAAGGGGGACTCACGTGTAGGTCCTAATAGGTGAATTTATTATTCAATAAGTGACATTTTTTATCAAACACTATAAAAAAGTCACTAATTGTTAATTTTTAGTGACAGTTTGAAAATTGTCACAAAAAATGTCAACAATTATAAATTTTAGTGACAGTTTAAAAAAATCATCACAAAAAAAGTCAGTAATTTTCAATTTTCAGCGACGGTTTGAAAAATTCATCACAAAAAAAGGTCACTAATTGTAAGTTTTAGCAACAATTTATAACAACCGTGACAAAAAAAAAATTACTAATTGTCAATTTTTAGTGACATGTAAAAAATCGTCACAAAAAATTATTTTTAAGAACATTTTACTAGGACTTATTTTCAATAGGACTTGATGGGAATTAAATCTAACTATTAAGACCTATTAGTAGTTTATCTAAAGAGGAAAAGGAAGAAGAAAAATAAAACGAGAAAATTCATTTGAAATAGATAGCTGTAATGTAACAATCCATTTGAACATTACATTTTACTAAAATGAAAATCCAGTCCTTTGAGACAATGTAATTATTTTCTAACAATGAAAGAAACAAAAAAAAAAAAAAATTTGCTTCATACTGGCACCTTGAAGTTTTAAATTAACTTGCAATAATCTAAATTAAATAATTTTGGATTAAAAGATTCCTCACAATTGTCAACTGAACAATATCAGAGGTTATTTTGCGAACTAAGACTGAAAATTTAATTTTCAAAGTCTATTGTGTCAAATACACCAATTAGGACAAAAAAGGATCTATGTTCAAATAATCTGGCTATTTCCACCATCTACCTTTAAGTTGTCAAAAAAAAAAATATATATATATATATAAATAAATAAAAGAAAACAAAAAACACCATTCGCCTTTTTCCACCACCTATGTCACTATACTAATCTAAAATTGGTCTTTGACGTGAAAGAACTGCAACTAGAAACAAAAATCTAAAGCCTTGGCCAAACTACGGTATAGCAATTAGCAAGAGATAATCCACCATATATTAGTGAGATTGGCACAAAAAGACTTCTATGAGATGGTGCTCTTTAGTCAAACATTTATTTCAAGGCATCATCCAAACAAAGTAAGCCGCATTAGATGAAGCACAAAATCCAACCATTTGTAATAATAATAATAATAATAATCAAAGCTCTAAAATAACTACTAAAAAAAATTGATGGAGAAAACACCATCTCAACTTTGAAAAACATAATATAATAAATTTTCCAATATGGTTATCAGGATAAATTGCATGACCATTTATTGCTTTGCCATTAACTCTCCTACAATAAGAGATCCCAATACATTCCCCACCTTCTTGACCATATAGTGTTGTGATCCACCCACATCTTTTTTATTAGCCACAATGGACTAGTTTTAGAAACTGATGGCTGAACTTATCACCTACTTCACTAGATGACATACTCATCAATACTTTAGCTATCATATTTTTTATGGCGCATTTTTATAGGAACATTATTCCTTCTATTGTTTTTTCTAGTTTGACTTCCATAAACTTATGGTTTAGAAGTTTAACACGAAAATGAAAGAAGTGCACTAGAAAGCACTACGCTATTTGCTGTATGATGACACAAGTTCAAAAATTGAATCCATTGGAGTGATTCATAATGGAAAATCCAAAACCATTTTTTTTAAACAACCTAGAAAAACACCATTGAGGCTGCAAAACAAAGTGCTTCATAAAATTGCACAAATAACCAATCAATATACTATACATCTGTCAATTAATGTGGATATCTAGGTAAAATTACCCCACTAATTTATTTAGAAAGTAGCTTGGTCGGGATGGAGAATATTTTTTTGTCTTCTTAACACTGCAATCTCATAATTTCTCATGCAATAATTGAGTTTGCTAACTCCAATTTTTTGACATTGCAAACTGGAAAAAAAACAAAGGGCAAACTACACTGGTAGTCCCTATACTTTGTTGCATGTGTCATTTTGGTCCCAAACTGTTTGAATTGGCTCAATTTTGATGTTTAATTTTAGATTTTGTGTCAATTTAGTCCAATGAAAAATGATTGGAAGGGTTGAGCAAGTGAATGGCACAAGCCCATAATGGTAGATTCAAATGTTTTAGTCTCCACCAAAACCATTGTCTATGTTCTCTCTGGTAACACACTGTTGCCACCTTTGCCGCCACCACCACCATCCACTACCTTCCACCACTCAAACCACTACTTCCGCCACCCAAACCTGGGGCTATAAACAAATCAAGCAAAGCCAAAGATTAGGTTGTTCAAGCTTGACTTGAAAACTTAACGAATTTCAAAATGTGTTCAAGCTTATCTTATTTACATAACGAGACGATCTCAAACGAGTTTTTAATGAGTCAAGCTCAAGTAGTTTAGTTTTTTTATAGTGCATATAAGTTTATCAAGCTGAGTTGTAAGTTGTTTAAACTTGATTTGATAGCTTGAAGAGCTTTAAAACGTGTTTAAGTTTGGCTTGTTTATATAACGAGTCGATCTTGAACGAGTTCTTAACAAGTTGAACATAAGTCAAGCTCAAGTAGCCTGGTTCTTTTAACAGCCCTACCCAAACCCTCTCCCTACCACCATCAAACACCCTTCCACCAAACCCCTGTCAACCACCCCAAACCCCTTTCCAATAGCCCCAAACTCATCCCACCACTATCATTTAACAATCTCAACACCGTCCACTACCATCAACCGCCCTCCCAATCACCATCAACTGCCCTCTCAATCTGCAACCCAGTGGCCTGAAACCCTCTCCTTTCCCCAACCCCAACCAATTGCTTCTCTCTATTATATAATGCAAACATTTGAGTTAGTATGAACGTCATAGTTTTTTAAATTCCTAAACTACCCTTTTTCCTTCCTGTAACATCCAATTCACATACATTCATGTGCTTTGTAACTGCAGAACTGTAACTGCAATTTCTAGCACACCCATGTGGGTGTGCACACCTTTTAGTATATATATATTTGAGTGAGATAGAGTAAATCATTGAGTTCGATGGGTTATGGAAGAAAATGGACTATTTTACCCTTGAAAACACAACATATGGCATTTCATGTGCCTTATTTTCATCGAAAACCCTAACAGCTATTTTCGAATGGGCTAAATTGAAAAGAAATATGAAATTGAAGATCAAAATCGAGTCAATTGAAACTCCAAGAACCAAAATGACAATGGGCAAAGTATTGCCAGCAAAATTTACCCAAAAACTAATTACCATTCCAATCCTATCTGAATTACAAACTTGTATATGCAAGAATTCAAGATTTCATTCGCACTAAATGGGAAAGAAAAAAAAAAAAAAAAAAAGACTGTCTAGTTCAGGGGCAGCATGTTCAGGGTCAACAAGTATCACAAGGACAACGAAAAAGCAATCCCAGGCACAGATCTATAGTATGCAAACGAAAATCGAAATACCTAAACACTGGAATTGAAAACGAGATTTACCACTAACAATCACCGATATATGAAGATTAAAACAAATTGTGCTAACCCTAACCATTCTTACTCAGATAAAATCAGGTAAAAGTGCAATCAATTTGCAGGAAATGAAATCACGCAGATTCGATATACACAATATGCGCATATATATACACACACACACACAACACAGGTGAGAGAGAGAGAGTAATAGAGAATTGATTGAACTTACAGGGCTTAGATCCATCAGAAGGGGAAGAAGATCGACCTTTACAGAAATCAAATTCAAAGTCTCTCTCTCTTTCGTCCCTCAAGTCTCTGTTACGTTTCTGTGTGTTGGTATGTATGTATGTGAAACGTCGCCCCCTAGCACTCCGTTTCGATGGAGGAATTTGGTGATAAAAGACAAGAAATTGAAATACTGAGAATAGGAAAATCTTTTTATTTGTTTGAATAATTAAATAAGTGATAAATGATGAAAAATAATGAGAGATTGTGATAAATGATTTTTATCAAACTTATATATTGTTTCTCATAAAAAAAATGGTGAGATTTAGTGAGAAAAAAATTGGATTTAATGAAAGTTTTTTAAAATATCAAAATTATCCTTATAGAAAAATATAATTTATTGATATGAAAAGTTATTTTGGTAAAATGAAGTACAACACTTTCCTTTATTTTCTCTTATTTATTCTATTCAAACCAAAAATATAAGAAATCGCATTTTCTTCTTTTTTATTTATTTAAACATAATAGTAAGAAATCATAATCATCTCTTTTCATTTCTTATTTAAGTGAAAAATTACAATAATTTCTTTTCTCGTTTCCTTTCACGATCCGTAAGGAGTGTAAATTCACTAAGCATGTTCAATCTTGAATATTAAATTTAGGAAAAATTACAACATAAAATGATTATAAATTCATAAAAAAATTTAAAATTTTAATTATTAATAATATTTATCACTGATCTAAAAAAAATTCAAAACAAGTACTAAACTTATATTTTTCCTTAAATTTAAAATATTTTTATGCGTAAATAATTTCATTGTACAAATCATAGACGTGTTCTTTATATTTTGAAAGGTAAATTCACATTGATTACTTGTGCTTTACTCTATTACAATTTACTTATCTAACATTTAAAAATGAACATATAACTATGTGCTTTACACTTTGTTAATTTGGACGATGTGTAATAGGGCACTTTAGATTGGATAAACCACAAGGGTGCTAAGTGAAAGTAAATTTTGTCCTAAATTTGAATTTAGATAAAAATTACTTAAAATTCGTTATACTTCTTTCATTAAAAGGATTTTTATTAATAAACTCATGTATAAAACTTATATCAAATTGAATTTTATCTATATATTTTTAACTTAAATTAAGAGTAAAACATATTTATTCAAAATTTTTGATACCCTTTTTTTTTTAATATAATTTTTAAATTTATAGTTAAATACAAATTTATTTATCAAAATGTTTCATATCAATTAAAGATTTTATTCAAATTTTTATTTAAATAAAAAATGAGTGAGGGAAGATGGTTAGGGCCAAAACTAATTAATATGTAGCCTCTTTTTTTTTTTAATTTAATTTATTTTTGTTGTTGGATAAACTCATTGTCCCTTTCCCAACACAACTTGGCCATTAAGTTATGAAACTTTCTTCTTTTAATAAAAAAATTGAAAGAATTGTATAGTTGGTATCACTGAGGCATATTCCTCCTCCAAATCATTAACATTGGGCTGAGATAAACCTCTCTGTTTAGCCATATACATATATTTTAAGGCCCATAGTTTGTAAGGCCCAAATTTCAGAATCTGATATACTATCCCAAATTTTTTTTTAATGGAAAAAAGGTAGTGGGACAAAATTTGAGGGTCCAACAAAAGCGTTAGCGTAAATCTGGACTAGGTCCGAGGCTGGACCATTGGGCCATGAACTGGGTTTCAGCCCGAAATATAATTCTATTTTAAAATTGTGTTTGAATTTTAAATCTGTAGAAAAATAAATGAATAAATAAACAAATTACAAAATTTCATCAAATCAATAAAACTGCTAAAACTGCTAAAATTTTTATTATTCATCAAATCAATAAAACTGGTAAAAGTTTTCCTTATTCGTCAAAACACTCAAATATTTAAATATGCACATTATATGCACCTTATGCGAAAAATATAACTTGTCTCACAAAATATATAACTTTTATTATAAAAAATATTATTTTTTTCTTCACAAAAAATTTAATATTTTGCTTCTTTCAAAATGTATAATTTCTCTCGTAAAAAGTATAACCTTTTTTTGGGTGCATATATAAAAAAGAAAAAAAAAATATAACCTTAGTTATACATGACTTTTAGGTGCACATCATAACTTCAAAATTTATAATTTTCATCTCACAAAACATATAACTTCTCTCATTAAAAATATAATTTTTCCTACAATGTGTAAGAGCACATTGTAAGCTCTCCCTAGTTGGTAACCCAACACAATGAGGTTTGGGTGCTTAGCATAATATTGTCGTACTTTTTCTTTGAGACAAAACTGACTAAAAAAAATAATTATCAATATTTTAATTTCATACACATCACTATAATAAAACTATACTGACATTCAAATTGAAACTCTCAAACAATAAAAAATGAAGATAAAAATTCATAAAAAGAATTCAATTTTTTATTTTAATTTTTATTTTGTTTATTAAAGACAAAAAGAAAAACGGAAAGTGATCCACAACTTGAAAATTTATAAAACTATTTATACAAAAGAATGTCACTACAACAAAATACACATTTGGCGACTGAAAAAAATTTAGTCGCCAAAAGTTGTGGAATTGGCGACTAATAATTTTTTTAGTTGGCAAAAGTAAAATATTTAGCTACTAATTTTTTTTAGTTGGCGTATATTGATTATTGGTGACAAAAGAAATTTAGTGGCTAAAAATTCTCTTTGGCGACTAAATCCCAAAATGGGGAAAAAAAAAAAAAAAAATTTAGTCGCCGTACATTGAGTTTTGGTTACTAAAAAGAAATTTAGTGGCTAAAAATTCTAGAATTGGCGAAAAAAAAAAAAAAAAAATTTACTCGCCGTATATTAAGTTTTGACTACTAAAAGCATTTAGTTGCTGAATGGAAAGTAAAAAATTATTTTTTTATCTTTGGCGATCAAATTTTGGTCGCCAAAAACTTAGTTTCAGCGACAAAAAATGTTTTTAGTCACCATATATTGAATTTTTGGCTACTAAAAGCATTTAGTCGCCGAATGGAAAGTAAAAAATTATTATGTATCTTTGGCGACTGAAAGTTTGGTTGCCAAAACCTTATTTTCAGCGACCAAAAACTATTTTAGTCGCCAAAAACCAAAAATTTTTGGAGCCAAACATTTCAAAATTTGGAGGGATTTTATAAAATGAATTGGCGACTAAAAATATTTAGTCGGTAATGGTGTAATATATATATATATATATATATTTGGTTCCCAGACAACAGACCAGTGTCTGCCTCTCTCTCTTCAGTGCTTCTCTCTACCTCTCCCTCTGCCTCTCCGTTACTCTTCTCCCTTCCCTCTCTCACCGTCGCTCCACAGTCGTGCCTCCGCCACTTTTCCTCACGGTTGTCGGCAACTGGAGCACTGATTGCGAGCTCTGTCTCTCTCTCTCTCTCTCTGCAGTTCGCATATTGACCCAAAATCTAGGTTGGTGATTATGTCTTCTTCTATACCATTTTTCTAGTCATCGATAGAACCATCACTATTTTTCTTCATTGAAATCGTTTCCTGTATATAATCCAGAAGATGAGTGTAGATCTGGTCGCCTCGAATACCCATGGAAATCTCGATGAGCAGATTGCACAGCTCATACAGTGCAAACCCTTGTCTGAGCTTGAGGTACCTCTCTCTCTCTCTCTCTTGCTCTTTTTCTCTCTCAAAGTCTCTATTTTGAAAGCTCTCTCTTTCTTTTTACTTTCCAGGAAAATTTCCAAATTCATCCTCACACCCCTCTTTGTTTCTTCCTTTTTTAGTCTTCTTTGTGTGTATATATTGTTGGAAATAGTTATGAAGTTTTGGAAAAAATCTGATTTTTCCTTAACTTTGGTCTATGTTTTAGGTGAGACTCATTTGTCAAAGTTGGCGGGTCTAAGTGATAACGCGTTCTATACCGCGTAGTGATTCACGTGGTATATTTGGTTTCTCAAAACCATTATTGGGTGAATGAAAAATTGAAGCCAAAGTGAACTCAATGGAAATGGAATTTTTGATGAAAATTCCTTAAGGTTTGAATAAAAGTTTGTTCCATATTGGTTTGGTGGGAAGAAATTTATGGGTTTATAAAGCTTGGGATTATAACTTGGAAAGGGCCCCATGGGACACCCTAAGTTTGTAGAAAGGAGAGATTATGGGAAAATTGGACTAGATCCATTGGACCCAAAAATAAACACGTGCGTGCGGCCGCAACCGTTCGTCCGGTCGGGTGGGCTTGGGCATGGGTGCGTGGTGTGAGGTTGGGTTGGGCTTGTCCGGCCTAATACTTATCTTTTTGGGCCAAAAACATTTGAATTTAATTTTATTTTTTGGTGAAATAAAATCTGTCCAGAATTCGAAGTTAATTCTGAATTTTTGTCCAGTTTAATTTCAATTTTTGAATTCAAATCAGTTTGTACCTTTGTCCAACAGATCTGAATCTTTTCAAACCCAGAACAGTTTTAGTTCAAAAAAAAAAACCCTTACCTATTTAATTTAAATTCAAACAGATTTGTATCTGTTTAATTTAAGCTGAACAGGTACCATACCTGTTGGATTCAAACCAAAGAGCCACCATTTTCCTATATAAATAGGCAGTCCCTCACTTGGTTTTTCACTTCAATTTTCGTTCAAAATTCTGCTTTTGCTCTCTGCATATTTTGCTGCATTAACTACATTAATTTTCTGTGAGAAAAAGTATATACATATACACTTAGTGTGTTCATTATACAAATAATTTGTAGTGTTGCTATTGTTTGCTGTTCATTTCATCTTGGGAGATAGACGTCCACATTCTGAAAGCATCGTGGAGAGGATGAATCTGTTTTAAGGACACAGTGTTAAACACTGGACTTGATCAGAAAATTTGTTCAAGAAATTAATTTGGTAAGTAATTAATTTATTTTCTGTTTTATTATTTTTTCTGTTTCAAATTTTCATTTTGTTTTTGTAACAAAATAAAAATTTGTTTTATTTATTTTATTTTATTTTCTGGTTTGATTTTTGTAATCTTATAAACTCTCTAATATCCTTTATTTCTTCTGTATTCCGTTTGTTGTTAAGCACACAAACAGAATTTATTTTTCAAATATAGTGAAGATTGTCCAATAATTTTAAGACAGATTAATTGTTGGTGTCTTCATTGTATTTATTTTTCTATGCTT